CCAGTCAGCCCTCAATCCATTTGACACTCATTCTCCCCAAATGAACCACCACGCCAACCTCTCTCGTATCATGCCACAACAAATGTGTCAATGCAGGTCTGATTTTCCGAGAGAAAAACGTTGTTAAAATACAAGGCGGGAATAGCGAGGTCAAGGTAGTTCGCAAAACGAAATGAGCGAATCTGAGTTCACAAAACGCTGCTCAAGGCATCGTCATCGCCATCGACAGAGTGATTTTCAAGCTAGACTTCCTCTTACATTCTTTATGACATCCCACAACGCTGCTTTTATCATTCCTGGTTTGTCACCATGCACACGACAATTGCGCTGCGCTTTGATTGGTTCATTTGAAACGCCTTCTCGATACAGTTGGCCTGATTGAACATGCTCTCACTACAACCAACCTTGACCTCTCTACACACCTTTTTCTGCACTATTTCCACTGTACTTAATCAATCATGGGTCAAACTTAGGGGACACATGTGCCTTACGGCTTTGTAACGAATTACACGACCAGTTTTTATCACTCTTGTCTTTTTAACCTGAAATATTGCTCTATTGACTCCTTTTCCTATGTTGTGTGGAATAACTTTTAAATGCGCCAATCACATGCCGGCTTGCTCAGCCGCTTTTCTTATTGGTTAAGCGTTACTGGAGTTAGCGATGCCTTAATTTTTGTCAGCAAACAGTCAGCGTTCTTTTGAACTGACACATTTTGTTGGGATTGGAATAAATGAGGCTCTCTGAACACAATACATGGTTTCTTGCTACTTTTACTTGAGTTAGTAGTGTAGAAACACGGGCAGCGCTTTTAGCCAATCAGAAGACTCCATCCACGGCGTCCATTTTATTGTTGTAGTTCCTCCAGCAGACGGAATCAACTGAGTGGGAGGACCACGGTCGGACACTGTTTGAGACAGCTATGACCCTAAAATTGAATCCCCGACGTCTAAAAAAGTACGTTTTTGCATGTGACTTGGTGTGTACGTACTTGCTACTTAATTACAAATTAAGTAGCAGATTTTGTTTCTGCAGCCATAGCGGCTCTGGCTTGGCCCTCGAGACTCGATCCACCACTTCCATCCCGTTCTGTCTTTGCCTCAGATAATATTGTTCACAATTCTAACTTCAGAAGACCCATAGCTGTTGCATCTACTTACAAATTATTAGTAGTATCCGCGATTTTATCCGAAATACGCCTGGAGAATTTAGTGAGCCAGCGAACAGAAATGTGGTTAGTCTGACCATAAAGTGGAGAGGTTGAGTCATAAATCACGCTAGACGAGCCTCAATTTGAACCACAAGACTTTAAAAGTTTGAAATTTCTGTATTTTACGCGCCTTCAAGACTGTTCGCGTTGAAGTCTTTCCGAATTAATTTGCTGCAAGCTGATTGGATCGTGTGTTTGTCATTGAAAGCAGAGCTCATTGGCTGACGCAAGCCACCACATTCTTATTAGACGGATAGCACATTCGAAAGTTGATGAGCCAATAAGATCGCGGCGGGTGATATAAATTCGATAAATGGTGGTGTGTATGGGAACAAGAAGTAGAGTTTTAGTGTTAATATTCTTGATTATTTAGGCTTCGCAATGATTACCTGGCTGCCAGGAGTCAAGAACAGGCAGAGCAGATCGAAGTTCGGGTGAGACAGTGCTTTTTGTTGTTTTAATGCGCTTCGTCTGTCGTGTTAACGCGTTTCTTCAAACCACCGTCCGCCGTCATTCTGTCCACTTCTGTCAAGCCTTCTACTGTTAAGTTTGAAATGGTTGAAATAATCCAGAGGTCACGAGTTCAAACTCCCGCCATTAATCCAACCAATTGGGATTCGGGCCTTGTGGTACTCATCAAATCAACAATTGAAGTCTCATTCTACCCCAATCGAAGGGGTTAATGCAACAATTTAGCTTCTTGTTTGGTGTCAGTTGTAATCGTTCCTCATTTCTTAAAAACCTCGTGATTGATTTGATCGCATCTTGCGTTTCAGCGACTTCGGACTGAAAACGGGCTCCTTCTGCAGCGGTTGGCGCGTTTGGAGGAGGTAAGATGTGCGACGTGTGCCGCGTACCCTTGTAAACACCTCACAAGTTGTCTTTCGACGATAAAGCGGCCCTAATTGGCCTCCATCGTTACGGATTGACGTGTTTCATTGGTGCCAATTCACCCTCCAGTCATTTCTGTGTGTGTGCGTGGCTTGTAGGACAACACATACCTAGCGAAGCAGTTGGTCGACTGCAACGTGGAACGTGCCCAGCTCTCTGAGGAGGTCTCGCGTCTTCGGGGCTCGTTGGCGCGACTGCGGGCAGCCCAGGAGGCCTCCCTCGCCACCCCGACCTCCTCTCCGCCCTCAGCTCCCGCGGGAGCCGAAAACGGGCACCACAGCGACGCCGCCGACGCCTCCGCGGTGCCGCCAACACCTCAACCGCCACCGCCACCCTTAAAAATGACGCCGGTCGCCAACGGCAACCAGGTTGTCATGGTTTGATTGTGGCCGCTCTCCCTCTCCCTCCCACTTCCTTTTGCCAACCTCCGTGCATGTCTTTCAGCAGCTGCGACTTCTAAGCCGATTGTCCTTCCACTCTCATTTTTGCTTTGCGATTTTGTGCATGTCAATAAAAACCACTGCATGACCTGATTTGGCTTATTCCTTGCTCTTCGCCACGTGATTTTGTCCCGTAAGGCCGAATTATGGTTCCCACACAGGCAAGAAGGCACTTGAGGCGAGAAAACTTGCTTTTTCTCGTGTCTGGGAGTTGTGGTCGGCTCCTGAAGGTCAAATTTTGTCCTTGAGTCCACTCCTTCCTCAGTCTTGCGTCTCGTGATTATCGCATGTGCATGTTGTGCCGTTTGTTTAAATGTGCTCATCTTTTCACATCAAACTTGCTGGCGGGTGTTTTGAATACACTAGTTAGGCCACTCATAGTCGGCATTGAGATGAATTAAACCGCTAGATTCTTAAAACACATTTCAATCGACTTTACTAACTACCGAAAAGTTTGGAAGCTGCTCTGTGCGAAAGTGTTTGCCGGGGTAAGGCGCAGGGCATCTGCATTCATCACGTGACTGGCTTGCTCAACGCGCAGCCTTGTCAGTTGCGTGATCTTGTTGTCAAGTATGCAAGCACGTGATATTTTCACAAAACGCAGGTGGAGTCCTTAGCCTGTCTAATCTCTTGGCGCATGAACTGTAGGAAGGGCTGGTGATTACACGAGTGCTTTGTGCTCAATAATAGGGGGTACTGTGACAGGCCCCTTGGGTAGCAGTGTCTGTCCGTCGTTGTTTTAATGCTCTGGCTTGCGCGCTGGGCGCCACTTTGAATTCGTCTGCGCGGTGTGCCAGGCCAAATTCGGTAGCTTCGCGAACAACGATACTACCACTAGCACAATTTTGGAAATTTCGGTGTTCGGCCACGCAAATTATTAAATTTGACATGGAAACTAATTCGAAACAACCGATTTCCTTGGTTTTATCACTTTGATAAGTAATTCTTGCGACGCTGTCAATTTCATTGCTGCATGCACCGATTACCGTGGGAATGTGCTTGGCTATCTTTGATCCTGTTGTGCTTTTCCGATTGGCTAGTGGTTGCCCCCATTTTACCTTTTTCAACCAATCAATCAACGGTGTTTCGTGGTGAAGTGCAGCACCGCAAACCTAAGCTAATTTCAATGTTTTTGCGGCAAAAAAAGTCTCCACGCTGCAAATGAAAAGATTTTCCGTATAATCGTGCAAATGATCAATCTGTACTGTCATCTAATGTGATCGAATTAGTAGTAGGGAATAGTTAGTTTCACACACCTAACTTTAAGATTATAAACAACCACAAATTTAGCTAAATTAAAAGCTTTTGGTTTAAGATTTGTTGTGAGTTCCCTTTATTAATAGTTAACTTGAAATTTCAATCGATTAATTTGTTTAGTGTCGAAATTTGAAACTGTAGGGAGCCTTGTAAGTTTGATCGGAAATCGATAATGATCTACTTTCCCTAGAAAACAGGCACGTTCTTTATATGGTTTGAATTTTTTTTAAATAAATTAAACAGGAAATAAAGTCACGTCTACAAAAAGATTTAGGAGACATCAAAACGAGTTTCATTTGCTACCTTTGCACTACAATACGGTTGACCTTTGACCATCGTAAACCTACAGACAGCCCTACTTGTGCAACTGACATGCCACCAAAACCAAAGCATATCGATCAGTGGGGTCATTCATCTTGCTGAGATGAGTGATCCCCTGATTAAACCCTGCCTCTTTGGGAATTTCACCTGGTCAAAATGTGTGCGTTTTAATGAAGGAGACAGTTAGAACCATAATGATATTCAAGTTAATTGCTACATCTGCTGACAGCGAGAATTCCGTGTCAAAACTAGCAAAATACCCGCAAACTGATACCATCCATTCCAAATGCCTGTGGAGTGGAATGCAACTTGAAAATGACGCTAATTCTGACACTGCGGGCAATTAAGACAATCACATCTTTCTGAATATCGTCTTGGGGTTATTCCAAAAGCTCCTCCATGTAGATGGTAATTTCGTAGCTTCCTTGAACCTCTTTACCTGGAAATCGACAGCACGGGACTTGGCGTAATGCTCTTCTTTTCCTCCATCGACTTCGCAGACTGCAACTCCTTCTCCACGGAGTTCAGACAGATGTGGCGGCGCCGGAGTTTCAGAGACCACATCGGGTGCCGAGTCGTGGGCCTCATTCTCACCAACGTCCATCAGCCGCAGCTCCAATGACCGTCTACTCATGGAGACGATTCAACAGTTGGAGACTGACCTCGTCCGTCTCCGTGTTCGAGAGACGGAATACCATTCTGCGTTGAGAGACGCAAAGGAACGAAATCGCCTTCTGGAAGAGGTGATTGAAGTTATTCAGTTATTTTTTTACCAAAACAGACTCCATTTACATTGGGTTTCATATGAAATGCGGGAATTTGTTTTCAAACGTGGTTACTGCAAGCAATCGATAGCGATTTTTGGGTTGTGTGGGTTTCAAATCAAACCACGAACACTTTTAATAGAAAACCAAGTTGATTATATGCCAGGCAAAATTGTAGACGCAGATACGTAAATTGTCATTTCGCTGTTAAATGTATACCATCTAAAGACCGAACACATCTTTAAATGCGCCCGCCTGAGTGCAAGTAGGCGAAGTAGTTCATTCAAAGACTAATGGGCCAATAGGAAAGTGGCGGTCGATATGACTACAAAAGTTGGTGTGCGTGAACATGTATGATAATGAAAAGTATTAGTAAATTGTCAAACGTCTAAAAGATTCATTCCTGGGATGACACTGTGAATCAGACGAAGTGTTTTCCAATAGAAATTGGAAGCCGCGATCCGAGTGCCCGCAGAGCAGATGGAGGTACTGCACAGCGAGCTGATGAAGGTCAAACTGCGTGAGGCCGAGGGTCTGCTGAAGCAGAAGGAGCTCCGAGACCGCGTTGAAGAGATTCAAACCCTCTGGGACAACCACCAGGCATTATCTGGAGCCAGTGGCGGCGGCGGCGGAAACTTCACCGGCAAATCCGAGGTTGGTGGAGCGCAGGCGAGTGGGTTCTTGCGCACCAGTGCTGGTCTGATCCACTCCAGACTGCTTGGTCGAGCTTCAGTGGTTGCGGTGACCGCAGACAGAGCACAGCACCTCTCCGATCGCCTTCTGGAGACTAAACTCTTCGGCCAGATCAGCGAGCTGCAGCAGAAGGTTAGGTTCCTCCCACTGATATCCAAGTAGACAAAAATGTGAGGCATTTGAATCGGAAATTCCGCCAGTATTTCCAAAGGAATTCAAGACCGAATGGAGATCGTCCAGTTGCCACATTTGTGAATTCATGTTTAGCTATCTTTGCTGTAATCTCTGGTTGGCTAATTTCTAGAGAAATTGAGTCAGTAATCGGACGTGTTTGCAAGTGGATGAAATTTAACATATCAAACCAGACATTTACGGAGCAGTGGAGCAGGAAATGTTCAATTATCTGATCTTGAGATATTATTTGCTAACATTCCGACTCAGCTAAACTGGATTAGAGTGAGTTTGGTGGAAATTGCATGAGCTTGTCGTAGCTATGAATTTGATATCACAACGATATTTTGATATAGAAAATCAATAAAATTTTGTGCCACATCAAACTATATTAAATAACCCATGTAGATAGGCGTGATTACTTGAAAATACGAAAAATCCGTGCTGTGGGTGAAGTTATCGAATCCACAATATTTCTTAACGTATTCTTTATTAAAATGCACATAAACGTGGATCACCCTGTGGAGTGAACGCCGAGATCAGGTCAAATACCCCGCTGAATGTCACAAAATCACATCAAAACATGTGTCAACTCAGTTCTGTTGAGATTAGCAATGAATGATTGCACTTTTTTTACAGATTCTTTCGTTAAAGTTTAAGAAAAATTGAGTTTGATTGATAGCAAAATGTTGTTATTTTCAACTTCCAAACTGTCAAAAAGGCTTTTTTCGTTGCCGTTGAAAAATCGTGAAGGCAGCAGCCCACAAATTTCTTGATGGCGATTCGAAGGAATGAACATCCGATGGAGTCAAGAATGGAAGAATCGGAGAGGACTTTGCTGGACATCCTAGTTGTGAATTGTGATGTCGGTTGCTGTTACGAAGTCACCTGCACAGTCTGTGTGAGGGCGCAGACTTTGGGTGTGAAATAACATGGTGTTTCTTCGGAACTTACGACCTGTCAGTAGTCCGATAGTATATTTTCTCGAAAACAAATTCGTCGATGCACAATAAACAGACGCGTGACTGAAAATGGAAATATCTCAGCGGTGCTTTGTGTGGCTCTGAAAGGATCGGACGCAGGATTTAAGGACACTGAACGACAAGTCTACGTGCGCGACGATGGCAACTGATAAACAGCACATTCGAAGTCCAACAAGGCAAAGTGCTTCTGAAGCACAGGAATCATTTCGTAGTGTTCTTGGTACCAAAGTTATGTTATCTGGAACGCGTCATTATCGGGACAAACGTTTTAGAAGCGGTGATTTCTACCTTACAGGTCCAGGAGCTGATGACACACGTGGAAATAGCCGATCGACAGGCGAGTCGACGCGACGAGCAGGTGAGCGATCTGAACGAGAAGGTGGAACGGAGTGCCTTGCGTGAGGCTGCTCTCCGCGCTGAGCTCAAGGAGGCCGAGTGTCGGTGCGCCGACCTTGAAGCAAAGGTCGGTGTTTTTACCTGCTAACTTTTTTTGCTCACAAATAAAGCCTTTCTGTGTGTAGGAGAGGGTGTGGTTTCGTTAACTGAGCTTTTTCCCATTCACACATTTACGTCGAGCACAAAAAGTGTGATCGACTTAGCTGGGTGCACATCTGTGCCGTACGGCATCACGTGAGTGACCGACGGCGGAAGTAGCGAGCGGTAGGGTAGCACGCTAGCCAATCCACTTACGAAGGAATAATTGCCAAACCTGATTGGTTGCCTGAGGAGCCATTTTGTACAGGCGGGAAGTTTTTGTAAAAATCATTCTGTCTCGTTTTTTTTGTAAATTTGTGTTACTTCCCATTATCCTCACATGAGTTTCTTTTGCACTGCACTGAATAAACAATAATAAAACTGTGTTAAATATGGAGCAAGTGTCTAAATGTGAAACAACCCCTAGAGAATTATTTCCCGTACGCTTTGTATTTTTTCCTGGAAAAACGCCAGTTTTGGCGTATTATGCTGAACTTACTCTCGCCATATCGTAGATAAAGCAATTGTTCAGCCCCACTGTTTGTTTATTCATCCCTCCAGGCACAAAGTATTTCACCGGTGTTAAATCAGAGCCAACCAATCGAATATGTGGGAGTAGTTAACTCGTGACCAATGGAAGGCGTTCGTAAGCCTTTGGGTCATCGAATACCAATTGATGGCCGATTTTTGGTGCAGCAACCGATCGCCAACATGAGCGATTGTGCCATCTATGAAAAAGCTGTAACTGGCGTAGGATTAAGTCGCCGACTTTGATACTGCTAATCAGCAGACGCATATTGAGGGAGCGACTTATTACGTAGTTCAGTGCTTAAAAACGGGCACACTTTGGCCGTTCGTGGGAAGCCGTCAATCTTCAGCTTGTCAGACGGCGTTGCATGGTAGAGGTTGCCGTTAAAAGAGATTTAAACAATGACGGCGATCATAGGTAGCAGAGCTAAGGGTTGTGGTAGCTTCGAGCAGAGTAGTCCTCTTAATTTAAGCTCCAAACAAAGGTTTGCGAAGCCATCAATCGTATTTCCTCGATTACTCTACGTTTTCGTACAATGCGGTGATGTGAAGCGGTCTTATCAAAGTGACGTCAACACAATATTTTAGACCACTGTGCACACGTTCTATAGCAGCTGCAGCCTTAACTGAGTCGTTTTGTTTGAAGTTCAGAATGGTCGCCCGTCGAAAGTTGACTCTCTCGAAAATGTACATAAAAACGTCCAGATTCAGCACGCACCACGACGTCCACATGCAAGTTTAGCTGGTGAATTTGGAAGAAGTGAATGGATGGAAAGTGGCTATCGATTTGTCCCACGGCGCTTACTCGAAAACCTTGCGTTTTGATACGAGACATGCATTATAACTTGTCCTCCCACGCTCCCTTTGAATAGCGCAAAGCTGACGCGATTCTCTGGCGCATCCGGGAGATCGAATTGTCGTCACAGGTTGCGGAACTGAAGCAGCGCTACTCGGAGCTCGACTGCCTTCACGACGCCGAAAACGCCGCGAATACCCTCCAAGGTCCGCCGACAGGGACAGCGCTGAGTGGTACCTCATCCGTCGCGCCCACACCAGAGGTGGGCAGAGCTCGGTGCGGTGCCTTGAGAGCACCAAGGTGTCCCGAGGATCGCCTCTCGGCCATGTGGAAGGATCTGCCCCCTGCCATCATGACGGAGTCGATTGGGCCGCTCGAGGACCTGTGCATACTCCCCGACGACCCCATGATCACCAGTATTTACACGAATGAGGAAAACGCTAAGTAGCCACCCGGTCGAAACGAGGATTGGCCGCTAAACAGTCTTTCAAACCATCGAAAATTTAATCCTAAAGTAAATGACCTCACCCTACTTCCTCATTAAGACTCTGGTATGTCATCTTATGTGATAACTAGCACTATAACTTGTATTGCGTTCTCAGCACTGGCCACACTTTATTATTTCACATAATTCAACTGCAGTACTAATCGCGGTGTGATTACGAAAACACCATCCACGGTGAGGTTCAAGAACCAACTGGGAACGTGTTTATTGAGCATTATCGCGCACAAGTCGACGGCCTGAATGCCACTAGGCCTCAAAACCAGTTTGAACTAACACCAGGGCCAGAACCACCGTGGGATCAAGTGAGGACATTAGCTGGATTCTCCCCCCCCCCCCCCCCCCCCCCCCCCCC